CTCACACTTCCCACATGCAAACTTTATATTGCACCACACAGGGGTCATGTATGTTTATGTCAGGGGTCATATGCCAGGGGTCACAGATGTATATGTCAGGGGTCACGTATGTATGTGTCAGGGGTCACGTATGTATATGTCAGGGGTCACGTATGTATGTGTCAGGGGTCACGTATGTATATGTCAGGGGTCACGTATGTATGTGTCAGGGGTCACGTATGTATATGTCAAGGGTCATGTATGTATAAGTCAGGGGTCATGTATGTTTAAGTCAGGGGTCATGTATGCATAAGTCAGGGGTTATGTATGTTTTTGTCAGGGGTTATGTATGTATGTGTCAGGGGTCATGTCTGTATATGTTGTGGGTCATGTCTGTTTATGTCAGGGGTCATGTATGTATATGTCAGGGGTCATGTATGTATATGTCAGGGGTCATGTAACTCTTTGATATTTGTGTCCGTCTCTCAGACAAATCTTAGCATTAATAGTAAGAATGGTTAATGCATTAGATTTTTCAGTATAAAACATTTATTAAACAAAATAATCATTGAATACAAGATTTCGCTCTAAATTGGTTAATCTTGTTCAACTCCTACATCTGTTTTGGCTCGTGCACAAAGGTTTGGCATACCAAATGTCTTTGCTTATTTAAAAACACATCTTACATCTCACATGCTTGTGTGATGCATCATTTTAAAGCTAGGCCCTTCTAGTTTATGTAAATATACACTAAAATAATGTATGTCATTCCTATTTCACTCTGCATCCTTTGAAGTTTGGGAAAAAAACCTGTTGTTTTTAGCCTCGCCTAAAATATTCAATGTATAAATGCCCTAAAAAAGCCTACTTCATTGGAAGAAGAAAATTTTCAACGCTAATTTGTTCATTGTGTTGTTGACAACAACTGTGTAAAGTTTCAGACTTCTAAGTTTTAAAGTTTTGATGCAGTTTCTCTTTTTTATCAAGTAGTGCCATTCGGAACCAATTTGGCAAAATGTGTGCCAAATTGTGCCAAACTGCTTTACTAACATTTCACCATCATAAAAAGCATATTTTTTAGTTTTGGTAAATATAAGTTACAAATCTGTGTGATTTTCCTTTACATTTTTTCAAAATTATTTTTTTAGTGTAAATGTGTGCAGTGTAAATGCATATAAAATATGAGCAGCAGAACTAACATCGTCTTTACGCACGCTTTTACTGTGAAAATGAAAAGTTCCTACAAGTCCCACCCATCAAAAGAAAGCTCTTTTTATTGGCTACTTAGACACATCAATCATTCAGTGCTAGCCTGTAATCAACAACAAGGCAAAAACGGACCCTGTGCAAGTGGATGCGGTTTATCTTTTCACAAGGGTCCTGCGAACTGAAACCTGCTCCAATCTTTTCATGGAACCTCTATTTTTGAAGCTAAAGACTCAAGGAACTCGTGGATATGATGTTTGTGGGGGGTAAACAAAGCTCAAACTTGGTGAAATGTGAAAGAGAAGCTTAAACATTTTTCAGAGCGTTTTTTTTTTGCAACAGAAAAATGCACATTTTTGGATTATTTCTGAAGAATGGATTATACTTTGGGAAATACAAGTGGATATTCTTCTTCAATGAAGACTTACGGAGAGAAAAAGACTAAGCAAGGATGGGGAAAGTCTAATTTGTTGGAGCAGCAGAAGACAAAAGGTAAGAAACTTATACAAACACGATTTATTTTGTGCCCATATTATGCGTTATATCTTTTTAATGCAAAGTCTGATATCGTTTACACTTACATATAAATATAGTTGAGAAAATAAGCTTTAAAATGATATATAGCTTGTGGCTTATGAAGTTTAAAATACATCTGCTATTGCCAGCAGATGTTTTTTTTTTCTCGTTTGCTTGCGAACTTAAGAGGTTAAATAAATCACACATATTTACGCTTAAAAAAAAAGTTTGGCTCCCATAGAAATACTTTTTTTAAATCCGCTAAAAAGTATCCCAACCGCTCGTTTATGTCCTTTAGTTAGTAGTTTCTTTAAATTCATATATTGTAATGGTAATTTAGATTATTTGACCCTTCAACATTAATTCAACCAAATAAATAATTTTGCATTAGGGCAGCGCAGTGGTGCAGTGGTTAGCACTTATGCTTCTCTGCAAGAAAGGCACCTTTCTGTGTCAAGTTTTCACGTTCTGCCCATGTCTGTGTGGGTTTCCTCTTTGGTGCTCCGGTTTCCCCTACCACTGAAAACATGTGCAATAGTTCATGGTGAATGATTGTGTTTGTGAGTTAGACTACAGATGAATATTAGCAACAAAAAGATAACATCTGGTGTAAAAAAGCTGCTGTTCATTAACACGATCTCATCCAAGTAATCATACATCAAGTGAAAAAAGCAGTCCTACCTGTCATATGGACTATTATAGCACATAATGATAGATATCAAGTTAAAATCAAATCAAATATAGAATGTCAACGTAATAATACGAGGAGCACTACGTCCGCCCACAAACTCCTAAAGACTTCTCTCCCGCTCACTTCCGTCTATAGAAGCAGCGTATGCGGGAGAGAAGTCTTTAGGAGTCAGTGCGCGGACGTAGTGTTCCTCGTATTATTACGCCTCACAATATAGTACCCCTTTTTATCCGCTGAGAAAATTGACATCTTACATTTCTGTGTTACTATACTTTGTAGAGTAACACGTCACGTAACTGTATTTAAATAGGGAACACGTGGAAGAGTTTGGTAGCTTCTAACAGGAGCTGATTTGAAACTATACAGTCTGTGGAAGAGGCTGCGTTTGTGCTCCGTTTGCATGACAGAGCGCACGGACAAAGACCAGACAGGTACATATCAACTAGTCTAAGGTGAGGTAAGAACATATGTCAGTATGTAAAAACGGCCTATTCCTTTAACTGTGTTTATTGTAATGATAGATACATGCTAGTCCCCTGGTGCAGACCTTCTTATAGGACAGTGTCCTATAAGACAGTAGTATAGTATTATGTAACAAAAGAGACCGCTGCAGCATGTTATTGACCCCAACCACACGATGCCTCAAGTCTATGCATGTGTGCTCATGAATGTGAATTTCCCTTTTATTTGATGGATTGTGGTACACATTGATCCAAGAAGAAAAAAAGCACAGTTTCAATAATATGCAACACACTATGAACAATGTACATGTTTTAACCTTTTACCCAAATGATCTGGAAACTTGAATAAATTAAGTACAATTGATTGTTTTTAAATGGTTTGTTAACAAAACATGTTTGAGGAAGAACAGAAAAAAACAGATGCAAGTAGTTCAAATGGCAACAGAAGATTTTTAGTGACCTGTCCGATTACAGATTAAACAGTAAATTGTGTTTTGCGAGGCCTCAGTTAACAGCCAAGACCATTTTTTAATCATGAATGTTACTGCCTCTGCTGTATAAAGATGATGCAAATGCTCTTCCATTCCCAAGTAGAGATCATAAACACAGCTCTGCCATTATGAACATGTCATGTATCATCTTAAAGGCCAATTCATACTTCAGAAGGAGCATGATCCTGTCACCACAAGAACAATGTTCTTTCATCCTATGAAGTCTTTGGCCTTAAAGGTTCCATATTTCGCTTTTCTTAATTTTTCACAGTCTATGCTATGCACGTGTGATAATAATTTGGGTGATACACCATACACTCAAAACCTCAAATCCTATCAAATTATAGCCATTTCATTATTTAGTTCACAGTGATATACAGCAAGTTAGTTGCATTGTACAAGTTGGATGAAGCTAACACAAAAAAGCACCCACGCTTATTATTTACTGTCTATGGACCACACGCTGGACTCGGAGAGAGGCTGCAGCTGACCATAGACGGCGCTGATTCACTGGTTCAGTTTCTCCCCCCTGTCAATCACCTCCTGGGGGCAGGCTTTTGATGTCACGGGGCAGCACAGTGGCTGTGTGGATAGCACTCTCGCCTCTCAGAAAGATGGTCCTGGGTTTGAATCCCGATCGGAACAGGGTCTTTCTGAGTGGAATATGCATGTTCTCCCCATGCCTGCGTAGGTTTCCTCCGGGTACTCCGGTTTCCCCTACCACAAAAAAATATGCTGACTAGGTTAAATTCTCCAGCTCCGGTAGTCCTGACCAAGCCGAGCATCAAAACCTGGAGATGGGCTCCCGGGCGCTGTACTACGGCGACCACTGCTCCTGATGTAAGCCTTAGCGGCATCAGGATGGGTCAAATGCAGAGGATTGAATTGCCCTACAGGGATTAATGAAGTGCACCTTACCCTTTACGTCACTATTTGAAACGAAACGTTTCTGAGCCTCTCGAGAATGAAAGAGAAAGATCGCTCTCTAACTAAAGCTTGAGGGAATAAATGGAAAAAACACGACTCTGGGCATGTGTATGAAAGCCAAATAGCACTGTTTTCATGTTTAAACCAGAGAAAAGTCAAAAAGCGTAAACAGCCAGTATGAAAATAAATAAATAAAAAATATAAATGTATAAAATAAAATAAACAATATACAGTAAAGGAAAATCCCAAAGAAGTGTATATCAGTTTTGGTTCCATAGGATCAGCCTTTAATAAGTATATTTCTCTGCCTGCTCAATTTTACATAGCACTCCTTTATTTGCAATCAGGGGACCTGATTGGATTCCACAAGGCTTCAGACTAATGATCCATTGTAAACAATGTGCCAAGTGACGTCATGTCTCCAACCTATAGCTTGGGAGCTACCAGTAGCTCCTCACCCCCTTTCAAGTAGCTCCACAGTGTATGTAGGATTTACAAATTGTAATGGAAGTAACGTGTCTACTACCATTGTAAATGCATACGCATAGTTTTGTGTAGTACATTTGGTGATGCATCCGTTAAAGAGCGTGAATGTATCCCATCTAATGTAGTTATGTCAACAACATTCATTTCAACCATTGGCTTTAATGACGCAAAAAAGTAGAATGCTAAACAGGTGGGAGATCCCGCTCTACGTATTACGTGTTGTCTGTCAAAGTAGAGACTCACCAGTTCCACAGTAGTCCCGTGCTACAGGCAGGCGTATGTCATGCGTAAACTTGCAGAAAAAAGTGTCGAGTTCTCGTCTCAAAAGCACGCGTCTGACCTTCACTTTGGTTCAGGAATAAAGGGAGAGATTCAACAGTAGGAGATAGAGGCGGAGACAGAGCTTCGTCCTGTGCAGGCTGAGCGGAATGAATGAGTTCTGAAGCCCCTGCCAGAGGTGATATACGGGGGAAGAGAGGAGAGAGAGGAGAGAGAGCAGAGAGGAAAGCGGGGGAGTCCTACCGTGAGCCTGGCGCAGCCTGAGCGCTTCTGTCCCCTCCATAGACTGTAGAACACGAGCGCCCTCTAAAGGCATGGCTCATCATAGCATCTGCACGCAGAAAAATACAAAGTGGTTTAATTGGTGATTTAAAAGTTTTTGTGGAGTTTGTGGATTTGCATGTGGATCTGCATCAATGCATGCAGGTTTGCATGAATTGAACAAAGACATTTCTTGCTGTGAAGCACCGCAAAATTAAAACTACAGCAAACAGATGTATTTAGAGCATTTCATACAAAGCAGACCATCTAGACTTTATAAAACATGCTGTATTTTTTTTAAATCATTGTTATTGTTTTTTTTTTAAATGTTTTTACAAAAACAAAAGTGAAACGAATCTTAAAACATCCCCGATGATCCACCAGGAGGCAGTATATCCAAACGTAAAACAATCAGTCTTCTCCACATGAACAATCTCCAAACTCTGAGAATAACTGTTTTATGCTCTCCATAATATTCTTAGTGGCTGACACTTATATCGTTACTTTCGTGTTGCATGTGTAGTGCACACTCACACGTGGAGATGACATGGATTATCCTTGAGACGCGTTCACTTTCCCTCATCCTTGCGTCACACCCATAGACTGTATAACGGACAGAGTCACGCCTATCTCCGCCGTTCTAACTTTTTTTTTCTTTTTTTTATTAACAAGCGATGCTTACAGGCTCACATATCCCCAAAACATTTTACAATTAGAGCATACAGATTGTATGTATATAGTACAGACTAGTATATAACAAACAAAAAAACAAAAAAAAAACAGACATTTCCATCATATTGTCATAAAGACTTAACATAAAGTTTTTTTAGACTTGCAAAGTTTTAAAGAATCCTTCAAACTACTTAACTCTTTAAGAAATACCACAAATAAAGGTTTAGTACTGCCAAATTAACATTTGTGTATGAACATTTTAGCAAATATAATACAATTATTGATTGTGAATTGATTTTCTTGTGTACCAATATAACTCCGTATTTTATATCAGTGTAAGTTAAAGACAATGGGCCTCATTCACGAATAACTTCGTAAGAAACTACTCAACTTTCTTCTCTTAGCATAAGTAACCGCCCACTAATGCCCATATAAGGGACTGCAGGGCCGTGTGCAGACGCCAGAGGAAACAGCAACAGGCCTAAAGCAGGCTTTTGCCAGACTGAGAATAAAGTTATAAAATGTTGACTTAAAAGTCGAAATATTATGATTATAAAGTCGAACTAACAAAATTATGAGATTAATCTAAGAATATGATGAGATTAATCTCAAAATGTTATGAGCTTAATTTAAAAATATATTATGTATTATTTTAAAGATGAATCTCAAAATGTTTTGAGATTAATCTCAAAATATTTTGGACCCTGGGAGGAGATCCAGCGCGGACCAGCGCTGAGACCAATGCAGACCCGAGGAGAGACTGGAGTGACCAGCACACAGAAACCAGCGCGGACAGGAGAGACCGCATAGACACCGCGGTAAAGTGGCCCTGCATTTCGTCGCGAGCGGTAAAGAGGTCCGCACTTTGAAAGCGGTTGGCTCTTTTATGCTGTTACTTACGGTAAATGTGGAAAGGGAAGCCGTGACGACGAGAAAGCAAAATGCTATATCTTTTAAAAAATCATTAAAAAAGAACAAAAAGAGGTTTGACAATACTTTCACTGCACACTTCTTCAATGAGATGCTCTTTACCACTGTGTAAAATATCATTCATGTTTACTCTAGAAATTCTGAGAAAATGGGGGTCAAAATGTGCCATTTTGGTCCCAAAAGCACTTTTTAAAATTCATTTTTAAAAAATCGAAAAAAGTTCCCTGACTGCTTTCACTGCACACTTGTTCACCAGGATGCCCTCTACCATTGTGTAAAATATCATTCACTTTTACTGTAGAAATACAGAGAAAATGGGGGTCAAAGTGTGCACAAGTGGTCCCAAAAGCACTTTTTAAAAATCATTTTAAAAAAATCTAAAAAAGTTCCCAGACTACTTTCACTGCACACTTGTTCACTGGGATGCCCTCTACCACTGTGTACAATATCATTTACTTTTACTGTAGAAATCCAGAGAAAATGGGGGTCAAAGTGTGCACAAGTGGTCCCAAAAGCACTTTTTAAAATTAATTTTTTAAAAATCTAAAAAAGTTCCCTCACTACTTTCACTGCACACTTGTTCACTGGGATGCCCTTTACCACTGTGTAAAATTTTATTCGCTTTTACTGTAGAAATCCAGAGAAAATGGGGGTCAAAGTATGCACAAGTGGTCCCAAAAGCACTTTTTAAAATTCATTTTAAAAAAATATAAAAAAGTTCCCTGACTGATTTCACTGCACACTTGTTCAACAGGATGCCCTCTACCACTGTGTAAAATATCATTCACTTTTACTGTAGAAATCCAGAGAAAATGGGGGCCAAAGTGTGCACAAGTGGTCCCAAAAGCACTTTTTAAAATTCATTTTAAAAAAATATAAAAAAGTTCCCTGACTGATTTCACTGCACACTTGTTCAACAGGATGCCCTGTACCACTGTGTAAAATATCATTCACTTTTACTGTAGAAATCCAGAGAAAATGGGGGACAAAGTGTGCACAAGTGGTCCCAAAAAGCACTTTTTAAAATTAATTTTAAAAAAATCTAAAAAAGTTCCCTGACTACTTTCACTGCACACTTGTTCACTGGGATGCCCTTTACCACTGTGTAAAATATCATTCACTTTTACTGTAGAAATCCAGAGAAAATGGGGGTCAAAGTGTGCACAAGTGGTCCCAAAAGCACTTTTTAAAATTCATTTTAAAAAAATCTAAAAAAGTTCCCTGACTGATTTCACTGCACACTTGTTCAACAGGATGCCCTCTACCACTGTGTAAAATATCATTCACTTTTACTGTAGAAATCCAGAGAAAATGGGGTCAAAGTGTGCCATTTTGGTCCCAAAAGCACTTTTTAAAAAAATCTAAAAAAGTTCCCTCACTACTTTCACTGCATACTTGTTCACTGGGATGCCCTCTACCACTGTGTAAAATATCATTCACTTTTACTGTAGAAATCCAGAGAAAATGGGGGTCAAAGTGTGCCATTTTGGTCCCAAAAGCACTTTTTAAAATTCATTTTAAAAAAATATAAAAAAGTTCCCTGACTGATTTCACTGCACACTTGTTCAACAAGATGCCCCTCTACCACTGTGTAAAATATCATTCACCTTTACTGTAGAAATCCAGAGAAAATGGGGGTCAAAGTATTCACAAGTGGTCCCAAAAGCACTTTTTAAAATTCATTTTAAAAAAATCTAAAAAAGTTCCCTGACTGATTTCACTGCACACTTGTTCAACAGGATGCCTTCTACCACTGTGTAAAATATCATTCACTTTTACTGTGGAAATCCAGAGAAAATGGGGGTCAAAGTGTGCACAAGTGGTCCCAAAAGCACTTTTTAAAAATCATTTAAAAAAAAACTAAAAAAGTTCCCTGACTACTTTCACTGCACATTTGTTCACTGGGATGCCCTTTACCACTCTGTAAAATATCATTCACTTTTACTGTAGAAATCCAGAGAAAATGGGGGTCAAAGTGTGCCATTTTGGTCCCAAAAGCACTTTTTAAAAATCATTTTAAAAAAATCTAAAAAAGTTCCCTGACTGATTTCACTGCAAACTTGTTCACTGGGATGCCCTCTACCACTGTGTAAAATATCATTCACTTTTACTGTAGAAATCCAGAGAAAATGGGGGTCAAAGTGTGCCATTTTGGTCCCAAAAGCACTTTTTAAAATTAATTTTAAAAAAATCTAAAAAAGTTCCCTCACTACTTTCACTGCACACTTGTTCACTGGGATGCCCTTTACCACTGTGTAAAATGTCATTCACTTTTACTGTAGAAATCCAGAGAAAATGGGGGTCAAAGTGTGCCATTTTGGTCCCAAAAGCACTTTTTAAAATTCATTAAAAAAAAATCTAAAACAGTTCCCAGACTATTTTCACTGCACACTTGTTCACCAGGATGCCCTCTACCACTGTGTAAAATATCATTCACTTTTACTGTAGAAATCCAGAGAAAATGGGGGTCAAAGTGTGCCATTTTGGTCCCAAAAGCACTTTTTAAAAATCATTTTTAAAAAATCTAAAAAAGTTTCCTCACTACTTTCACTGCCTACTTGTTCACTGGGATGCCCTCTACCACTGTGTAAAATATCATTCACTTTTACTGTAGAAATCCAGAGAAAATGGGGGTCAAAGTGTGCACAAGTGGTCCCAAAAGCACTTTTTAAAATTCATTTTAAAAAAATCTAAAAAAGTTCCCTGACTGATTTCACTGCACACTTGTTCAACAGGATGCCATCTACCACTGTGTAAAATATCATTCACTTTTACTGTAGAAATCCAGAGAAAATGGGGGTCAAAGTGTGCACAAGTGGTCCCAAAAGCACTTTTTAAAATTCATTTTAAAAAAATCTAAAAAAGTTCCCAGACTACTTTCACTGCACACTTGTTTACCAGGATGCCCTCTACCACTGTGTAAAATATCATTCACTTTTACTGTAGAAATCCAGAGAAAATGGGGGTCAAAGTGTGCACAAGTGGTCCCAAAAGCACTTTTTAAAATTCATTTTAAAAAAATCTAAAAAAGTTCCCTGACTGATTTCACTGCACACTTGTTCACCAGGATACCCTCTACCACTCTGTAAAATATCTTTCACTTTTACTGTAGAAATCCAGAGAAAATGGGGGACAAAGTGTTCACAAGTGGTCCCAAAAGCACTTTTTAAAATTCATTTAAAAAAAAACTAAAAAAGTTCCCAGACTACTTTCACTGCACACTTGTTCACTGGGGGGGCCTCTACCACTGTGTAAAATATCATTCACTTTTACTGTAGAAATCCAGAGAAAATGGGGGTCAAAGTGTGCCATTTTGGTCCCAAAAGCACTTTTTAAAAATCATTTTAAAAAAATCTAAAAAAGTTTCCTCACTAGTTTCACTGCATACTTGTTCACTGGGATGCCCTCTACCACTGTGTAAAATATCATTCACTTTTACTGTAGAAATCTAGA